GGTTATCCTGCTCATATGTTTAATCTAGCCTCTCAAGTTTGATCTGCACGATTCTCCTCGTAAATATATGGCATGTTTTATGCCTGGAATTTCCTTATATGACTTATATAGCGTAGAGAATAGAGTATTCCGAGTATTCATAAAACAGTAGACAATGTGTAAAATAGTCTGACAGATTATTTTAAAATGTAACTTTATTTGAACATAAAAAACTACTCGACAGTTTCAAAAAGTACAAAATAAAACACAATGTGAAGATTAGCATCTTGAAACATAGATTAAGACGTGAATGAGTTGATGATATAAAAATGGCTCAAAAATTGTGCATGCATGCCCCCACCTGACTCTATATATTAATATTCAAAAACATCAACTATGGTGATAAAGGCTAACAGCTACAGATATTAACTCAAACAAAACCGACAAATTTACGCTATTCTTTGTTGCCTCAACTTATCAATATTTCCTACCCGTTAAATGAGCTAAATATTAAAGAAAATAGATTCCCAATTGAAACCTTCGATTGTGATGTACATGGATCAATTTGTTGCTAAACGCATCTAAGTGATATTTTATCATAACAAAATACGTATTATTATTTAAATTATTTCTAGCAGCTGAAATTTCAAGCAATATGTTATATGATTGATCATTGGCATTGCCGCTAGTGCGTAGGACATCAGTTGAAAAACATTGAACTATGACTAGTAAGCAGCATATTTCTCCCTGAAAGTTAGAGCTCGTAGCTGCACCTCTTCTAGAAAAGGAAATTGCAGTGCCAGTGCCCATGCAGTGGCAGGAGCAAAAACAAGGAAGTATTCTTCAAATATTGACCTTTTGTCTTTCGAGTTTTGAAACATTGCGGCGGAAAAAAATTGCTTACGTCAGAAAGCAAAAATATTTACAAAAATGTTTTTTCAGTTGAGGAAACAATGTCTCTTTGTTTGTTCACCATCGAGAAAAATGGCTAAGATTAAGAAACAACGCTTCCTGATTTGCCCACTTCGGCTTTTGAAGCAGGATTCTAAACTGAACAATGTTTCCCAGTTTGACAAGAAACCTTTGAGATGCCGTGGATTTGTCTGAACGTGTAGGTAAAAAAGTGCTCTAGTTTTCTCCCGAAATTTCAAAATTTAAGAAAACGTAGTAAAACTGTTCTCGTTGTTCGAGTTATAATCGTAACTCCGACCTTTGCTCCCGTCATTGTGTGCTCTACGAGACATTCTCTGTGATCCACTATCCCGGCGACCATTCCCCGCTACCGGAGGTCTGGGCAGACTACGGTTTTTGTTATATTCATCTAGATATTGGTCTAAGTAAGCCAGATCTGAAGTTGTTTCATAATCATTCGAAACTCGACGGTCTAACTCTTCATCACAAAATGCTGAATCAACTTGGTCGTCTGTTTTGGCTGACTCAGAATTACTCCCCTTGTTTCTCTCCAAAAGTTCGCTTTTTTCAAGTTCAACAGCTTCGCCCATGGTAGCGTCGTTAAAGCAAGCAGACTCATTTTTCTGCCGCCTTTTGTCCACGCATACACATGCAAGGACGGTAATTAAGACTATCACTGCACCCGCGGCAACACCGGTCATCACGCTTAGTAATGAATGCTTGGGTTTATCTAGAATAGAATTTAAACATTACGTCATTATACAACTTACGTCATTAAAGGGGCAGTGTCGCGGTTCTACTGCGCATCCAAAATATGCGCGAACTTGAAAAACTGTTTGCCAACAATTAATCAAGTTAGGAGTGGAATACGATATACTATTTATAATCCCTTCGTTATAGAGGACATCCTCGCTTTGTTTTAAAAATTGGAGGCTGCTGCATCTTTTCCAATCATGTAGCATTAATTTTAAACGTTTCTTTGCACCGTTTATTTTAGCCAATCAGCACCGTGACACCGCCACTTTAAATTAGAGGAGTTAAGTCATCTTATCTTCATAAGCTTTTAATGCATCCATGGATTGTAAAATAATGTTATTTTACAATCCATGATGCATCATAAGCGAGGGGCTGTGTTTATGACTGACATCTTATAAAATATCTTAAATGACACTGCTAAACGATAAAACAGCAATCTGATATCTTACAAATTACCAAATATATGACAATTGGCTTGAGTTTTCTATAACAAATCTCACCTAAAGATTAAGAACCTATAATAGGATCTCACCTTTCAAAAGAACCAACAAAACTAGCATGGAATGAAAAAACCCGTGGTTGGGATCTTTACTGCTCGCTTTCACGTTTGTCTCATTCGGCTTGATACTGTTTCCATCAAAAAATTTTCCATCAAAAATATTTACAATAGAATGAGTGGTAGAAAGTTCTTGTTCTGTTGTACTTGTAGAAACCGCTGATGTAGTCTGAGTAGGTAAACTTTGTGTTGTCGTTATCTTACGATAAGGAACAATTCTTACTACAAAATAACAGCAAAAGAGCATTTAAGTTGGTTTATTCTTACCTTCATAACATTATGCTGACGAACAAAACATGAGTATCAGTGAGAAGGATCACTGAAGCGAATGGACAAAAGCCTATTCAGGGTTCGTACAAGTCAGGAAGAATTTTCAAGGACTTTAACCCATTAAGCTGCAGAGCTTCCCCATTGACGAGTAAAATCGTCTGGCGTTAGACAAGTAAAAAAGGTAGGGTGCACTGGGAATCACTGCAGCCCAATGGGTTAACTAGAGACATTGTCTGATTTTTTGGTTAACCCAGTAAGCTGCAGAGCTTCCCCACTGACGAGTGAAATCGTCTGGCGTTAGACAAGTAAAAAGAATAAGTATAGGGCGCACTGCGGCTCAATACTGCTCATACCAGTAAACTCAATGACTAAAGGCTGAAAAGAAGGCGTTAAAAATCAGTAAAAAGTATATATATATATATATATATATATATATATATATATATATATATATATATATATATATATATATATATATATATATATATATATATATATACCAAATATGTATTTAGAATCATATATGAGTAGAGTGCTCGATATACCGAAGTATAGAGCTAATAAAGATAAAGATAAAATGAACCTGGTTTACTTCATAAGATTTATTCACTACAAACTTGTTTCGTATGACAAGCAATGCTTGCCACACTCATCAGGATGATGATGATGAGTGTGGCAAGCATTGCTTGTCATACGAAACAAGTTGTAGTGAATAAATCTTATGAAGTAAACCAGGTTAATTTTATCTTTATCTTTATCTTTATATATATATATATATATGTAAATATGCTCTGGTTTTCCATTGAGCACTTTACCAAAAGTTTTTATAACCAACGAAACCAAATCTTATATATATATATATATATATATATATATATATATATATATATATATATATATATATATATATATATATATATATATATATATATATATATATATATATATATATATATATATATATATATATATATATATATATATCCGTAACAATCACAACCATACATAACGGTTTTACTCACCACATTTGAAAATAACATCAATATATTTCAACACTCCAGGACATGGATCACCACCTAATTCGGCAGAACTTGCTTTCACGGAACAGAAATTTTTCTTATGACATTTGCTATAAATTATTTTCTTCGCCTTCGTGGAAATGCAATTTGGGATCTCATCAAAAGTTTGATTTGGTCGGGAACAAACTGTCCTGCTTGTTCGTCCAAAGTTTGCAGATAATATGTTTACCCGCTTTGATCTCGGGCAGTCGAGGTAAAGAAATCTCCCTTCACAAGCATGCTTTGCCCGTGAATCTGGTAAGGAGGAAAAAAAGTTAAGTCGGTTTACTGACGGTCAACAAATTCCAAACTAAATTAATTTTATCTATACTGTATGGATAAATAGAATAGATTTAATAGAATATATTTGCTCACAAAAAATATTTACAATGGGAATATAGTTAAAATACAATAATATAAAGGAGCTAGGGACCTTTTGAAATCCTGTTGGACTTTTTCTAAACTGTTCTGACTTCTCCCTAGAGGTCCATCAAGAATCATATCTTATTAATCCAGTGTTACTACAGGAGGAAACCTAAACTAAACTAAATTTTATGTATAAATACAACCGTTTAACAACTTATATTTGATGCTTTTCAATACACCTTTTACGACATGCTGAGCGCATTTCACGCAGATTAATCAAATACCGTCGACGTTTATTCAAAATATTTTTGCGCCGCGCTTCTTGCTGTGTTTGCGGAAAATGCGCACCGGTTAAGCTGCCTAAATATGCAGTATACTGCTGTTTAAGACGCATTATGGTGCCGATAGCACATTCTGGGCTCATCTTGAAGTATCAATTTCCTAAGGGAACAATTAACATAATTTGCAACCTTTTATATGAAGATTGATTGAAGTTAGTTTGAATATATTACAAAATATCTCATTTATATTTTCCATTGTGTGGTTATTTTTAACATTATAAAAGAAGAATCCATGACTCTCTTACAATAACTGATATATTCATACGATAAAATGTAACTAAATAAGCCTCAATTAATTGCATGCAGTTTGCATTGTATTGCCTATTGGGTTGAATTTCCGTCTTAAAATATTTCATATACGTGATTTAAAGGTCTTTAAACCAGGGCAATGTCTTTGTGATCTGCACTAATAGACCTGAGACCTCTTTATTTACGAACACTTTAATGTTGTACCAAAGTTTTAGTATCAGTATAGTACAAGATATATCGCGATCTTAAGACCGCCCAGTTTGTAAACATGAACACAGAAGTCAGAACGTTAAATTTCGCAAAGCGAAAAGAAGCATTTCTTAGCAAAACAATTTTCAAACTCTGCACGCAACCATTTTGTTTTTCTTGGCTCTTTCAACATTCATGTGAATTCCTTCAACAATCGAGTTCCCGACTTTTCATCACTTATCTCTTTACAAACACACGTCGCTTCTATTTTTGCACGAAAAATTCTCGGCGCCATAGCGCGGTATACTGCCCCCAACAGAAAACAATGCTAATGAGTAATGTGAACAATCCAATTGGTCGAAACGAAATCAAAGAATTCGTGCAACAATATTATGTCACAACTATTACTTGAACAGGATTGAATCAGTGAACTCAATATACTTGAAATCGATGTATTTATGTGTTAAAATACATCGAGTTTACTGGGTTGAATAGCTTTTTAATATATGTACAGTATTGGTTCATGAAAAACGCGCACGATCTAAAGCTTGGAAGAAGAATGCATTTTGGATGCGCTCTCTAATTACAGACCGCCATATTACAATATCGCGCGGTTTAAAGCGTTCTATTTGTGAATGGTGGTAATAGAAATGGAAATTAATTGCTCTCTAAAGTAGAAAAACATGTTCTGTAGAAACGCCTGATCATATTACATGCCGTTTGAACTACCACAAACGGTGTGTGTTTCTAGACCACTATAACCTACGCTGAGAAACAATATTTTGAAGTTTAGGCTCGCGAGAATCTACCACAAAGGGTATGTGTGGTAGATTCAAGTGTATTTGAATACAATTACCTAAGCTGAAATTCTGCTAGGTTGGTGTCCTACACTCAGCTTTGCAGAGTTTTCTTTCGTTAAATGCATTCGAGGCTTAAATACAGAATAGTTATACTTCAACAAAGCTTTTAAAAATGAGAAAATCCTGTCCGGTTTCAAGTCAAGGTCTTAAAATTTTAACCTGTGAAGTTTTTGCTTTCATCAAACAAATGTGCGTCTTGGCCTTTAGCCTTCTTCGATGATATATCCACTTGGAAAGAAAGATTTAGTTATTGTACGAGACGCAAAGCTTATAACACCGCGAAATGTCAAACAGTCTTGAGCATGACTATTCGTATACTGTATAGCATTTTTGCGATCATCAACAAAATGCGCACCTAGGCTTTTGGTCTTCTTGGAGAATTTAGCCACTGAAAAATATTTAGTTACTGTAACTGCACAAGTTAGAAATATCAAAGAGTATTTAGTCTTGTCAAATTAGTCTAAAGTCTAGCTAAAAACAACCAATTTACACTCAAATAGTAATCAATGATTACACATGTCTTCGTTTCTATAAACAAAATATTAGTACGTCTATAGCACGGTTTGAATGCCAAGCGAATGATGAATTTCTTGTTGATTTTCGATCAACAACTTTTGAGTTAGGTAAACCAAAGAATTTCGATTTAAAATCAAAGTCACAAAATGTTTTAAATGGACAAACAAGGCTCTACTAAACAAATAAGATCCCAACTTGCAAGCCAATGTTATTTTGTAAATATTACGATATTTTGCTGACTATTGAAAAATGTTTTGCTTCTAGCATCTTACCGTAACTGTGGACTAAGGTTACCAATAATCCCACAATAAAAACCAAGACAAATGCTTTCATTTTTCACTAAATTCTTCTCTCTTTGCAGTAAAGCGCGCGGTGCAACAGTCTCTATGACGTGCTGTGTGATCTTTGCGCCAGTGATATTCACTCAGTACTGAAAACGAAAGCTGATACCATCATATGGTAGACGTTAATTAAATCAAAATCTGACAGCACTTGTAAAATTGTAAGGTGTTAAACGATAAACACACGCATAAAATGCGCTCATATATCAAACTTTGTTTATGTTTACGCGACCACAAGGAAGTGCGCAGTTTTAGTGGAATTTGGTTTCTAACTTGAGTAGAATGTACAAAAAGCTTTACTCGGTATACAGTAAATATTAATGTACAAATCCGTACACTCGACCCAAGTGTCAAAATTCCATAAAAAAATTAGCACATTAGTAAGATTAGCATTAGCTAAAGGCAAACACAAACACATATACTTTACAGCCATATTTAAGGTTCTTATATATAGGACTTGCTTGACAACGGCGCCAGGTAATATAGGACGAGAAAGATTGAAGTGTTTTTGTAGATCTTTGTAGGATGTTTTTGATGTTAGGGTTTTTGAAAAACAGCACTTAAATAAGCATATACGAATTGTTTCATAATCATAATTGTCATACAATTTAGAAATTGTGGACAAATGTTTCAAGATTTAAATAAAACTGACTAAACAAGAGCTAAGTACATAACGAGGAACGCATGAATTTGTAAAACCAAAAGGCAAAACAGAATGCAAAGAGCGCGGTTGGCATTCTGCAAAGATCGCGGTTGGCTCCGTTTCAAAGTATCGAACATTTTTAACCTCCAACTAAAGTAAGTTAAGTAAAGCCGGCAATTATAGCATAATATTGCTTGTGAACAACACTAAGGGTCACGAAGGGGGTAAAAACGGCATGGGAGCCGGGATTTCACTAGGATAATGGCATTTGCACCTGTTTGCTGCTGACAATATAGGATTTTCAAAATTGCTGGGTCGGATGACTGGCATTCAGACACAATTTTTGGTTAAGAAAATGAGATTGAAATCCGCCCTTCAAAACCATCTGAATTTGAAGTAAGACCTAAAGGCCTGTTTACACTTGCAATTTTTACCGCGATTTCTAGTGCGATTTTCTCCTTCTGATGGATGTGAACGAGTAGATGAGTTACGAATGTTCGGAGTATATGTACCCTCATCTGAACATTCATAACTTATCCACTCGTTCACATCCATCAGAAGGAGAAAATCGCACCTCAAATCGCAGCAAAAATTGCAAGTGTAAACGAGCCTTAATTAAGGGTTCCTAGACAATTCTGCTGGTATATAGATAAGGGCCTCGTAATACCCCTAATACCCTGGTTGCCAGAGTTTCTCGTATCTTCCGTCCTTTCCTCGCTCATAGAAATTACATAATTTATAATACGGCTGCACAAAAACGTCTGGAACCAGAGTATGCCCCTAGGAGTCTCGCTCTGACCAAAACAATCATCTAGCGTGAGATGAATGAGAAAGATGCTTTGCTACTTCAAGTCTTAATGGACTAACGGATCTTTAAGTATGATTATGGACTCACCCGAGTCCAATATTGATCACATATTAGACTTCAACAAAACGCTATACAATCAAAAACATGACAAATCCAAGCAATATCCATGAAGGTAAGTCCTATGAGCACTTCTAGGGTAAATTCAGCGCAAAAATTTCATAAAATTTATACATTACATTGGGTTTGGCAAAATTTATACATTTCATTCCATTCTTTGGTTTGGCTCCGTAACTTTATACAACGAAAAAAAAATAGAAGAAGAAAAGCTAAAAAGCTCATAATGGCAAAATTGCAAACTCTTTATATTTCTACGTTGAATGAAAATCTGTCGCTCCACCCCCCACTTGAACACTCCTCCTTTATTTATCAACTTGCATCGATGTGCCAACTGAGAAATAAACTTAGATATGGACTCTCAGTGTTTCAAACTTAAGATAATTTTTCTACTATAACTTCGTACAGATTTTTGTGGTTTTACGATTTCAGCGGGGATTCGTGTTTTGCAAGTGTGAAAATTAATTATATCTTATCTCAAAGAATGTACTTCCGTTTGTACTTGACATTTTGGCTATTAAAAAAAAGTTCAAACTAAGTTCAACAAGGTGTATTTGTTTGCTCACAGACAGTATTTCCTTACACTGATAGGATTACAATATAGAAATACATCATTCAAGAAATATTCCAACGTGTCATTCTGAAATTGATGAAGATGAGTCGTTAAAACTGTACTAGATGAAGCTATATAAAGCTCAACAAGGCCCACGGGTATCTAAGTCGACAGTATACTATTTCCTTATATATAAGATTACAAGAATAATAGAATCCATCAATACCAGTCAATTTCAAGAAATATAGGAAAAACATATACTAGGAATAACTCATGCGAGATTCACGGTGTTATTTCGAAAATATTTCAACTGAACTATTTCAATATATCTGTATTGTTGACGAGGGTTGATACCGCCGATATTGTATACAAAAAACATCTACAAATTGTCAAGACATGCCATTCTCTTGAGTTAAGAACGGTGAGATGATGCGGACGTACCACATGCTTTTTAAAAGTGCATTTTTCTTGGGGGGGGGGGGGCAGTTGCTCATATCAGTATGTAAATCTAAAGCCGGTAAAGGTGACACAAATTGATAAACCCTTGCCAAACCAAAATCTTACTTGCCTGGTTTAAATTAATTCTGACAGATAAGAATTGGTATTTATGATATGAAAGATAGAATAGAGAGATATTTTCTACAGAGATTTTGGCGCTTTGCCATAAAAATAGCTGGTCCGCTATGCCCGCGTTTTAGGGAGTTGAATTGCGGCAGGTAAAGTGCGAACATGCGGGTTACTTTGTTTACAACGCATCCTGAAAAAATATAAAAATTTTAACTGAAATTCTGACAGAAAAAGAAGCACAATGAACCCATTATACATTGAATTCTATTGCGAAGGACTGTTATCAGTTACTTTTGAGTTAAACTAATCGAGCTATTTTATATTGTGTACTCATAAGAGTACTTTAATTAAGCAATGTTTCAAAAATATTTCAAACGACAGGAAGCGGATGACAAAACAACAGAGACAAATATAAACTCTACAAATTCCTACCTCAAATTTGCAGATGATCCTGAGAAGGCATGGAGCGTGGTAGGGTCATCTCAAGTATTCAAAGAAGTCAAAGTAGCCTGCAATGAACCTAAACAAGAAGGACATGTCAGAGTTGTATGTATTTCCGATACACATAATGTGCCAATGCTGGGTACTTTAGAAAATATTCCTCAAGGTGACATCCTCATACATGCAGGGGACTTCACAAAACGAGGCAAAATTCACGAAGTTGAAAAGTTTAACAAGTTTTTAGGTTCATTTGACCACCCGCATAAAGTGGTGATCGCGGGCAACCATGATATTGGTTTTCACGAAGAGTCAGCTCAAAGGTTGCATCATTTGAATTTTGTACCAGAGGCAGAAGTGAAGGCAGTTTTGACAGATTGTACATATCTACAGGACTCTGAAGTCGAGATATTAGGTTTGCGGATTTATGGCTCACCTTGGTAAGATATTCAATGCTCAGTGTCTTAAGTTGTGTTCATACTTCAAGTAGTGATGGCCGGGCGATACTCGGTATTCCATACCAGTGATATACCACAAACAGCGGTATCAGTTACTGACGTGGCATTGTTCGATACTTGCGCCCTGTTTTGGACAATTTGTTTAACTTACTTCAAAGTATCAGTATCGAATTCTGGTATCGCCCATCACTAACTTCAAGCCTCAATTGGCCAGGTTTTCCCTTCACTTATTAGCTGACAAATGTATAGTCGTCCAAAGCAAAACTAGGTCCGAGCATAGATGAGAGAGCCTGGGAATGAGATTGAACCAGGTCAACAACAGGACTGTTTGACCTTACCTGACTCTAGCAAACAGGTACTATGGTTTAATCCTCCCATGTAATATCACTGGCTCAATATGGGATGAACCTCTATGGAACACAGTTGATAGAGCTATCCTGTTAATATAGTTATAGTGTAGTTTTAGTTAATGATAATTACATAATAATAAACTCTACCTCAGGACACCAGTATTTTATGACTGGGCATTTCTCAAACATCGTGGTGATGCCATAAATGAAATCTGGAAGAAAATTCCAAAAGATGTTGATATTCTCGTCACACATGGTCCTCCTTTAGGTACGCCAAAAATAGTACTCACTGTTTGCCTTCTATAACTTTTCGTTCCTTGCATCTTCTTTTGGTTTAATTTATTTTCATCATTATAATCAAATGCCTTTCACTTTCGCATTCAATCTTCAATTCTACCATTCACAACTAACACAGTCTGCTGCCACAATACCCCCCCACCCACCCATGTTGAGGCAGCCTATTCTAAAGAAGACATTAAATGTGTGGGGTGTACCCCACACATGTAAGATCACTGCCTGGGTTTTCTGTCCATACATTGAACAGTGACATGAGTTCAGTAACCTCAGTTAAGCAAGCACTTAGAGAAGTAATGTTTTGGTGGCAAAAAAACTGTATGCAAACTCATGAAACTGGTTAGCCAAAAAAATCTTCCTGTAACTTTGACCCCTTGATACCCCCTTGAAAATCCATCTGCCCCACCTCTGAGAATCTATCCTCCATAAAATCCAAACCCTTGTATCTACCCTCGACATTAACAAACTGGTGCACATTACTTACACAGGTCGAGGTGATGTGGTAAATTTTGGCAAGACTCATGCAGGATGTGCAAACTTATTGGACATAGTACAGAATTATGTTAAACCTAGATATCATATCTTTGGACATATTCATGAAGGTTTGTGTACAATAGATCTTGCAATGTGGTTTTACTCATATGTACATATATAGTTTAAATGCTTGGTCCCCTATTCAATGTTACTATACTCTGTTGCGTTATCTAAAAATGTTGCTAGCAATGCACATAATAGCAAGTGAGGTCTTTTTAAATGCTTGGTTATTGTTCCATTTGATCTATGCTTACATTATCACAATGGGCATAAAATATACCAAGTTATATACCAAATCTATAGTATTCTTCTATTTCTTACACACATCCATTTCCACAGGTTTTGTAAGTTGCATAGCTGATCAGCTAACTCATGTTTATAATTGCTACTCTGAACATTTCTTCTGGGTATGTTTTAGGTTATGGTTGTTCATCAGATGGGAGAACAACTTTCATCAATGCCTCAACATGCAATCACCTGTATAGACCAGTTAATCAACCTGTTGTCTTTGATATTGAAGTCAATGACAGAACTTTGAAGAATGATGATTCTGAATAATATAATATAGGCTTGGTTTATTGAATTGAATTTATGTACTGTAAGCATGCTGGTAATATTGCACTCAATCACTGAACTTTGCAGACTGAGACTATGTTCACACTACACCGGATTGTTGTCTAAGATTGATGAGGCCGAAATTTGATCCCTGTGGTACTCCACCATCCAACACCTTAGCTATTTAAAGGGCAGTGTCACGGTGCTGATTGGCTTAAAATAAACGGCGCACAGGAACATTTAAAATTAATGCTACATGATCATCCTCGTTCGCAGGCAGCCAAGAAGCCCTGGGAACGAGGATGCTACAAGATTGGAAAAGATGCAGCAGCCTTCAATTTTTAAAACAAATCAAGGATGTCCTGCACAACGAAGGGATTATAAATAGTATATCGTATTTCACTCCTAACTTGATTAATTGTTGGCAGACGGTTTTTCAAGTTCGCGCATATTTTGGATGCGCGGTAGAACCGTGACACTGCCACTTTAAAGGCTTCAAACCCAACCTCCCAAAGCCTGGTTCCAACAGTCGTAAAGATTGAGTGAAGATCTTTCTCAACAGCTGAAATACAACAGTTTAACACTGATAATAGGCAGAGTGATTATAACTAGAGAATACTTATGATTTGTATGTGGTTTACAGGTATGAACTATTATAATCTAACCGTTGAATAAAAAATTGGGACTCAATCTTTATGACCGTTACGACCATATGGTTTAGCTAGAGTAATACGAGCAACAAAATTGCTGCAACGCATGTTAAGTAGAAATATTGACACATGTTGCTTCGTGATTTGTAACTTATGTGTAAACATTTTCAATTAACACGCGTAGAAATCAGATTTTGTTGCAAGTTGCAACAATTTTGTTCCTCGTATTACTCCAGCTTAAGAGATAGTGACGTTATTACTGGTCCCAGTCTTAGTTCTTCACAATGTTCTAGACCGTGTCCCTTTACAGTACAACACTTGAAATGTCTTTCTGTACTTGGGCAAACGCCACAGATAGATAAAGGTATTTACAGCGTAGTTTAACAATAATAACATATCACACACATTAAATATATACATAATGACGTCATGTGTTGTTTCTACGGTAACCACGTCCAAGACCCAGAAACAGACAGTAGAGAAAAGGACTCCAAGAAAAAAACCCACGGTAATGATAAATATTGTACAGAGAAAACGATTTTGATTTCGTAAACGAACTTCAACTGATTTTTGAGCAGCTTTTGAAATGGATGCGTCTATCTTGAGCGCCAAATGTCGTTTGCGTATACAGAATGTAATCAATGAATAACAAACTAGGGTTGCCACAATAAATATCCCGTATAACAATTTCGTTAGGACTTTATACACTTGTTCTTGGTGAAAATAAATCAAGAGAAAATAACGTATCCCGTTTAAAAGTATACTTGACACCCATGTCATGGCTAACCATTTGTAGCACACTTTTGCAGTCACATTGACTTTATGCCAAAGAGGAAACACAATCCCTAAACAACGTTCCAAAGCCAGGCAGAATATTGATGGGAAATTGACAAAAGCGAACACGTGATATACAAAGTAATTTAAGATCCTGAACGCCCCAGGTAAACCATTCATGCCGCCAAATTTTGTAAGCCAGAGCAGTGATTCTTCCATGAACATCAAGGAATTAAGGAGATCTGAAAGAGCTAGGTGGAAAATGAAATATGAAGTTGCATTACCGAAACATTTCAATGGATCTTTGAGCATTGCGAGGATCAACAAACCATTTGCCAAGATTGTGACTGTGGTCACTACCATATAATAAACGAAGCTCCAGGCTTTGATTTCCGCAAAGAAAATTGGGCCAAATTTTATCACGTCTTCATTGCTCCCGTTCATCTTTGCATTATAATTTATGTTCGATCAAGTCACGATTTAATAAAGTTGAGGACGAAGCAGGTGTTTTTAACGTTTATATTTGAAACACTTTTTATTAACATGAGACAAGTCATTTATATTTAATTAAAGATTGGGTTTAGTCCACACCAGGCATGTAGAACTGAAACTATCACAGGGTTTGTACTCATGTAGATATCATATACATTGTTAGTTCTATATTTTATTACAGTACAATACAAGAAATGTTTTCCTGTACTTTGGCAACCTCCAGATATACAGAAAAGGATTGATCGCCATGCTGATAAAAAGCAAAATATTGATGACATTAAACAGCATTTCTGTACCACTTGCAGAAATCATACCATTATGCACATGATGCTTGGAAAGTGTACCCACTATTAGAGGGATTATCCCAAATATGACTGCAGTGGCGTAGCCAGACCTTCATTTTTGGGGGGGCGAAGCGAACGCCGAAGGCGCGAGACCATCTAGGGGGGGCATGCACCCCCGTGAAAATTTTGAAATTTAGAGTCCCTGAAATGTGATTTCAAGCATTTTGGGGGTGAAATCTTGCAGAATTCCGAAGATTATAAAGTACATCGAAGACATAAATTTTCCCAGACATTTCTAATTTTCTACTCGGAATTAAATAAATTGGAACAGTCACCTTGAAAAACAGGAGGAGCCGGTCAGCGTCACTTTATTTCCCCTCTGTGATGCTTGGGGAAGAAAATCCCAATGTGATTTTGATCAGAAATGTTGCATTTAAACGATACAGAATAAGTCTGAGAAGAATATTCATGCTATGATAATGCATACATGTAAATCTACACTAAATCTATTCTTCTTCGAACCATATATTCACAACTGCTTTAACGAGATTTTACAAATCAAGTTCCTCCAGTATATCGTCGTTTTCCTCAGTCGAGACGTACTTAATCAAGTTTCAGCTTCGAGGATGTAACGTGTACCCCCTCCCCCCCATTTCTCTACGGATTTAGCCTTTTTCAGAGAATGTTTTTTTTTCGATTGGGGGGGCGACCGCCCCCCCCCCCTTGGCTACGCCACCGAATATGAGCACTAGGTTCACTAGAAGTACGGTGGTTATGAAACGCTTTTGATTTTTCAAACGAATCTTCAACATACGTGTTTCTGATTTTGAGTTTTCAGCTATGAACGACAACTTTTGTTTACGGGTTGAGATACAAGCCAAGATGTATACTAGGACTGTGCTGAGATAAAACATACATGGGAATCCACTAAATATGCCAGCAACAACAAACATATTGAGATGTAAAGCTGTAGAAATATCAGTCAGGATAAAACAGAAACTGTGTAGACCAGTTAATAAACCTGTTGTCTTTGACATTGAAGTCAATGACAGAACTTTGAAGAATGAAGATTCTGAATAATATAGACTTCCCTAGGCTTAGCTTATTGAGTTGACTGAGCTTATTGAGTTGACTGAGACTATGTTCACATTACACCGAAGAGAAATAATACCAGAATTTACTACACTGTTATACAGTTTGTTTACAAATTAAATTACACTCATGTAAACCCAAAATATTTCAAATAGAGCAAAGAAATTTAAACGAAAAGCATTCGAATTTATTGTTTTGAGACCTGCACAGAGACACAGAATAAGGTACACAGAAGGCCGACTTCTTCGTTTTTCCTATGATTTTCCTATGATTTTGGCGTAACTCGTGATTCGTCATCAAATGCTGACGCCATGGTCCTAGCCAGTGCGCGTTTGAGAGGCATTCACCCCCCTGATATTATTCAAAATGGTGGATGTCCAGGAGGGGAATGCCTCTCAAACCCGCACTGGCTAGGACCATGGCGTCAGCATTTTGATGATGAATCATGGCGTGGCAGCGTTACTCGAGTCGACCTTCTGTGTACCTTATTCTGT